CGTATTGTCAAAGACCCGGCGAGCGAGCGAAGTGAGAAAAAGGCTTCACTCGTGCAAGAGCGGTCTTGAAGCTTCTTGCTATGGTACCTGGAAGAATGCAGGCTGCGGATCTTCGGAGAGTTCACACTGAAATTGAATCGGTTCGTCTTAGAGAGGGAGCTTTCCAGTATAGTAATGTAGTGTTTCCGCAGTCTAGTTGCGAATTATATTAATCCGCACGCCTGGTACACATGCTTGGGTTCTTGCGTTAGGAGTACAGAGAATTGGCTAGTGTGTCCGATGGAGTCCACGAGGCGCAACCGGTATTCCGGGCTTGTTTTGTTTGCTGTCGTGTCCCAGTTTTTACACAGTCCCGGTGCGCCGCACGCCCTCAGGAGAAAGCGAGGTTGTGAATCCCTATGCATTGGCCGCTTTCGCTTCGAAACGTGAGAATCCCGCCAGTACATGGGTCATGAATCCGCCACGCCAGAATTGTGGTCGTGTCTTGCATTTTGGTCCTGATGTCTTGGTCCTGTCCTGGTGATCTCTTGGCAATCTCCCGCTAGTATACTTGGTTTTCAGGGGTCTGCTGGTGGTACTGGTGGTCTTCTAGTGGTCTGTTGGTGGTCTCATGGGGTCTCCTCGTGGCCTTCTGTGGTCGTCATCTCATCCTGGTGGTCATCCTGATGGTCCTGGTGGTCATGAGCGTTTGGTCCCGGTGGTCGTGGTTGCGGATGTCTTGGTCGCCGTGGTGGTCATGGTCGTAGTGGTGGTTGTCATGGTCGTCGTGGTGCTCTATCACTGTTTGCGGATCTACACTGGCCGAAAATCGGCGAACGAGTTCGAGATCGGCGTCCAGAAGGATGTGGATGACGAAATCGCAAAGGACCAAAGGGGGGCGATGGGCGACTGGATCCGAAGACGTTGGGACTCGACGGATCCCGAAAGAAGTGGGCAATTGAGATCTATGAGGCGTTTATCCCCACGTACTGGAGAGTCGTCTTGAAAACTCATCAAAATTCCCGAAGCCATCTTCATTCACTCCGAGACCGCTGGCATGCAAGTTGGAGTATGTCCCTTGGCACACGCGACCATGCTGGTGTCTGTGCCATTGGCCGGAAGAATGGCAGGGCTAAGAAGCGAAGGGGAGGTAAGACGAAAGGCGGGAGGTTTCCCGGCGCAGGCCGCATTCCGTGCCAGCGCAACAATCAAACAACTCAGACGTCCTAGAACCCTCTGTCCTAAAGCCCAGTACTAAAGAGATCAACTCTCGAGATCCGTGCCCCTTTTTCGGCTGTTCAGTGCTGTTCTCTACTGACTCTACTGCTTGGTGGTTCTATGCTAATTCTATCGAAGACTTGTCCGACGCCGGGCCCGTCAAAGAAAGAGAGTATTAGTTACATGTTGCTCGGCTCCGCGGGTGGTTTGCAGGCATGGTGTGTGACACTCCTTCGCGATACCAGGCGGCTCTTGAATCATCCATGGCAATGCGACGATGTCACGGTGACACTTGCAAGATGAAGCGGTATTGCTAGGCCCAGCAGCATGCAATATCAATACCTGTGAGTCTTCTACGGAGCGCATGTATGTTCGTTCGACCGTTGTAAACTTTCCCATGGGCTTTCATGGTCATGGACTGTTGCCTGCAGCTCGATGACGGGTGAGGCCTCGGCTTCGCAAGAAGAGACAAGACCTGCAAAGGCTTCTTTCGATTCCTTGAGCTTACGGCATGCACTCATCTTTGTGGCTTCTGATTCGAGTTTGTTGCAGTTCAAGGCAGCCCACCCGCTCAAATCCCAACCCCGAAGGTGAGTTGGGACAAAGGGCGCGCATGTACATGAGGCGCCGCTAGAGTCCGCCAGAGGGACCGGAGTTGGCTTGGCTTGTTGTGAGTTTGTGCAAGCCCCGACAGATTTGTTTTTTCCTCACATTCTCCTACTAACCAACTTCTCTAGCTTGCCTCTCTCAAATCATCGTGTCGCTTTCGAGCCGAGCGGTTTTCGCATTTGTTGGTTTCTTTCGGCCGGCTATGCTTCTTTTCTCGAATCTTACAGTCCCTTTCGACGGGTTTGCCCCTCTTTCACAAGTGCCCCCGGTAAGGATGAAGCTCCTGTACTGCGCTGTGTGGGTGTAAGATGGTGTGGGAGTGGGAGAATTGAGGGTTCGGACGTATGCTATCTCACTAGCACCTGTTTCGCTTCAGGCATTCCCTGCTTCGCTCGGCGCCCTCCTGACAGCAGGCTTGCTGTCGCGCAGGCGCGGGAACGGTCGGTTGCACTCCATGGAAGCCAGGCGTTTAGGCATCTGCCGCTGCTTCCGTCCTGGCAGGTGCAGTTGAATTTTGAGGACTTGATGGCCTGGAGTGTGAAGGCTCAGACCGAGGCATACTCATGATTCGCTCCGAGTGCGCGGGCCTTCACCTGCCGTCAAAGGTCCTGGCCATGGTCGGGTGAACAGGCAAACCCGAGTGGTCTTGCCCCACTTGCGAGCCAGTCGCATGTTGCGAGGAGGTCCCGACGGGTCCCATCGTCAGTTCCAGGGTTTCATTGCTCGCCGCGATATGGCATCTGATGGATGAGTCCCGTTGCGTGCGTCGAATGCTTAGAAGCCTGCTTGCTGGGTTCAGAACAATCCGGCCGCTATGTGCCCACACATAATCATCGCTAAGTGCCGGCCTTACTCTTCTACGCTCCTTTGCCCTTAAGGGCTGTTATTATTGAGATCCTGCGAGTCTGCTTGGTGTCAGCTGCTTCAGCCTTGAAAATTTTGTGCAGTGTTTGCAGCAGTCCGCCGGACGGATTGAATCGTTGATCTTCGGGTCGAGTGCACCGCCTCCCTGCGTGGCGAAGTGATGGGCGCGCCTGTGCGGCTCGAAGCACTGGTTCAGTTGGAGGTACCAATGCAGGGCGCCCATGGCAGCACTATCAAAAGTGGCGTGCTGCAGCTGTAGGGTCAGCTGATGTGTGATCAGCTATGGCCAGGACTGGGTGGTGATTCCGTATACGCTGAACGGACGCAAGGTCGTGCCCTGCAAGTCTTACAGCCCTTCTTCCGGAGTTGTAAGCCTCCGGGGCAACGTTGTGGCTATTGGTACTTGGTGCGCAAATGAAGCTGGAGGTCTCATTGCACAGGACTGGGCACTGCTGAGCCCGTGGCAAGCAGCCTGCTGCACACTGGATTCTTGGTCACAGTGGCATCTCCCGGCTACGGCGGGTGCTCCTGTTCAGGTGGATTGAGAGTCCACATTGGCTGTTGGACGCAGGGCCAGCCCGCTCCTAACCACCCAGCGGCACCACGACACCTCCTGAAATTTGCCGCGCGACCTGCGCATGGAGTTGGAGCTGACGAGCCACCCGAAGATTGCTGGCACTTGCAGGAGGATTCGCAGTGCATCAGTGCCCGGCGCAGGCTTGCACCCCCTGGATGGGGAATTCACGGAGATCCTCGAATCATATCGAAGGCATGACGGCTGTTGGTTTAGCCACGTGAAGGTGGCGATGGCGGCGTCGCAACAGCGGCAGGGTAGCTGTGAATGTTCTCATCTTTCGGGGCAGTGCCGGTGAGTTCGTTGGACTCACGGTGGGGAGTCGGGCAATGACAGACCACAAGACAAAGGCCTGCCAAAGAGCTCAGGCGATAACCGGCCTCGGCGAAACAGCCAATTCGGGTTGCCCCGGACGACCGTCACGGCGGGATGCTTCCGGGATATCGCTGAGTCGGCTCGCCTCAGCGCACATGAAGCAAGTCGAACTTCGACTGCTCAGTCTCGTCCTCCTCGTCGTCTTCCCTCAGCAAATATAGCGAAGGCATGCAGCTTTGGAAACCCGCGAACTGTCAAGGCTTCGGAAGACAGGCTGATGCTGATACCAAGACACAGCTCCTCTTCAGGCCAGGCGCTTCGCCGAGCAGCTCTCCCGCCTTGACTCGAAAAAACTCTCCGACCCGGGGCTTTGCGGATCTGCTCTTTCGGATTACATGGGGCCCGGAAGGGCCAAGTCAACTGGTCCACCGTGTAGGGGCGCTGTACCCCAGGCTCGTTGGCGTTCCCGAGCAATGCGCCCTTTGCCTTTACCTACTCCTGGCTGGTCCATGCCATCCCTCCTCATTGCAGTCGAGATGATTATCTTCGTCTGTCCGCCGGACGGATTGAATCGTTGATCTTCGGGTCGAGTGCACCGCCTCCCTGCGTGGCGAAGTGATGGGCGCGCCTGTGCGGCTCGAAGCACTGGTTCAGTTGGAGGTACCAATGCAGGGCGCCCATGGCAGCACTATCAAAAGTGGCGTGCTGCAGCTGTAGGGTCAGCTGATGTGTGATCAGCTATGGCCAGGACTGGGTGGTGATTCCTTATACGCTGAACGGACGCAAGGTCGTGCCCTGCAAGTCTTACAGCCCTTCTTCCGGAGTTGTAAGCCTCCGGGGCAACGTTGTGGCTACTGGTACTTGGTGCGCAAATGAAGCTGGAGGTCTCATTGCACAGGACTGGGCACTGCTGAGCCCGTGGCAAGCAGCCTGCTGCACACTGGATTCTTGGTCACAGTGGCATCTCCCGGCTGCGGCGGGTGCTCCTGTTCAGGTGGATTGAGAGTCCACATTGGCTGTTGGACGCAGGGCCAGCCCGCTCCTAACGACCCAGCGGCACCACGACACCTCCTGAAATTTGCCGCGCGACCTGCGCATGGAGTTGGAGCTGCAGAGCCACCCGAAGATTGCTGGCACTTGCAGGAGGATTCGCAGTGCATCAGTGCCCGGCGCAGGCTTGCACCCCCTGGATGGGGAATTCACGGAGATCCTCGAATCATATCGAAGGCATGACGGCTGTTGGTTTAGCCACGTGAAGGTGGCGATGGCGGCGTCGCAACAGCGGCAGGGTAGCAGCAGCACCATCCGCAGCTGAAGTTCACGAATTCACTTCCGCGAATGTCATTGACCTCAGCAGGGGCCTATACCTAGACCAAAGCAGAAGACAGAAACAGTAGTGTCAATAGCAGCTTTATCTCATCCCTGACGCCCTGCGTGCAGCGCAAGCGCTTCGGTGCAATCCGGAAATATCCGGAAGAACTTCCCAAGACCAAACTCTCCAGTATTGACGGGAGGCCGGAGCGTGCCAAAGTCGCGATGAAGACCTCGACCACCCTGAAACATGATTTGAGAAAATCATCTGCATGGAGGACAAGGTCGAGCACGGGCACTGGGGCCTGTGAGCGTAGGTCTCTGCTGCTCTCCTAGGGCCTAAAGCTGAAACACGAAACGGAGTGCGTGTCTGTGAGGACCTTCTTGCGATTTGCGTGCACGCGGTCCACCAAGCCGGCGCTGCTATCATACTCTGCAAGGAGGTGCAAATTCATGCTCTTGAACTTAGTGGACTGACTCCCAACCCTAACATAAAATGAGTCTATAGAGGCTAAAGTCAACGCCGCTAGTCTCTTGTCAGGCCCGAGTCTAGCAGTGTGCAAGTCAGGCGAGGTCAGGTGCATGTCTGCAGGGCTTGCAGCTTAGCAGCGTGCTCTCTGGGTCCCCTGGGTGTGTGGCAAGAGAGAGCATCAGGGTCCCGGCCATAGGCAGCTTCGGGGTTCTTGTCCACATGAGGAATGCACCTCTATGGAGCTCAGCCAGGGAAAGCGTTATTCTCATGGCTGGGATAGATCTTGTCCGGTCGACAGGTCTGCGTTCGGAGCGGCCCCAAAATTGACGCAGGCTTTCTCCAGGCCAAACCTGGTTAGGTTTCGCCTCCGCACGCAGCTGACTCTCCGAAGTAAAGCTTTGAAGACTCGTCGCAGATCTACCGCGCCGGCTGCCCAGATCTTTGGTCTTGTGAGTTTCGATGGCTCTCTTTCCTCGGCCTCTTGCACTTTCGGCATGTCCCTGTCCCTTCCCTGCACCGTACGGCTGCAGTTGGCGCGACTTCACCTCCGTCGCTTGGAGTGCTGCATCGAGTTGAGGAGCTTGTATTCTATAGACTACCGCTAGGCAAGGAGCCAGCCAGGAGCGGGTCAAAGCGTATGGGAGGAGCCTTGTTGGTTTTATATGCCACGGGGTTTGGGAGGAGTGTCCTCCTCCTGGTTTCGCCCGTGTGCCTTCGAACCTTCGATGTTTGGCGGAGTCGGAAGCACGTGTCTTCAAGTCATTACGCATTGCTTCTGATACGAGCAAGTGGGCAGTTGGGCGGTTGCAGAATTTCCCAAGCCATCTGCAGCTCGGCTTTGGGCGGTGCAAGGAAGCCCACTTCTCTTTGATAGGCGGTGTCGCCTGCTTCTCGGCCGGTCCGTGGGACTTTGTGGCTTTGGCCTCTTGGTCTTCGTACTCTCCGAGCGCGCGGCCCAAGAACCCCAGAGCCTTGCAGTCTCAGCGCCGTCTAACTGCTTGGGGCCTTAGGGCCTCAGGAAGCAGGCTCTTCCACTTCGACCGCCGCTGCGTGTCGACGGCCTTCTTGGAGCTCGAAGGCTAGATGGCAGCTCAGATCAGGCAATGCTTTAGGGGTTGGGACCTCGAGCGCGTCGGTGCAGGATGCCTTCGAAGGTCTGAGGGTAGTTCATGCAGGGATGTTCCATCGGCACCTGTGTCAACTCTCCTTTCCACAGCGCTGCTTGGCATGTCTCCGGGTCCGCAGCCGCAGTGCGGCGTTGCAGAGCCAAGAAGCGGTTGCCGACCCTTCTTCTGCATCAGCCTGTTGACCTGGGACCCTGACACGCCATGATCACATGAGGGACCTTCCGGGTTGTGGCGTTCGGGGTTCCGCTGTACGCGAGCGCACCTGAAAGTCCAAAATTTATCAACTGCGCATCCGTCGGACATCGGCAGATGCAACGCAGGAGGCCAAGCTGGATGCTAACGATGCGGATGCCGGCGAACAGGCCCGCAGGCATCACTTTAACTTGCAGTTTCTGATGAGGTTGAGGCTGAGGCTTCCGAGGTTCTGCCGTGCCGGGGGTCGGCAGTTGGCCGCAGAGAGGGCTTGACCAGTGCATGTTTGCACGACTTCGCTTTGTCTTGTCCCCGTCAGCACACCGGGCTGCAACCTCCGTGCGCTCATCTCAGCTTGCAGCAAAGGCAGCAGATGCAGCCAGCTTGTTGGTTGAGATCCCCTGCGTAAGGCGCAAGAGCTGTGGGGCAAGCTGGCGGAGGCTCGGTAAGGTCCTCCTCTTGGAGAAGCTTTCTCATGAAAGCTCCTATTGCCGGGCGCACTTCGGCGCTTGCTGGCTGGACTTGGCGAACCATGTGACCGCTGGGTTACGAGAAACTTGCCGGTGTGTCAAGGCTTGCAAAGTTCACCGACGGCCCAATCACCTCCTGGCAGGAAAGCGGCTGCACCGGGATGGCCATGTGGCCTAAGGAGTCAGACGCAGGTTATCAGAGCCACTGAGAGAGGTACGGGTGACACCGGCCTCGTCCAGACCACCAGCTGCTTTTTCGGATGCCGAACGGTGCAGGGTAGGACACAACACGGAAGCGACTTCACACGGCTTCTGCTGCCGGGTCTCGAGCTCCTCGTTTCTAAGCCGAGGTGTTCAGTGCAAACGGAGCCGGGCTGGAGCGCCGCTCCGCCTTTCGCAGATGCATCCTGGCGATGTCTGTCGTTGCGTGGAAGCTGCCCGTGAGTCCAGTGCTCTGACAATGATGTGGACTCTTTCCCACGAGGATATGCCGACGGCAGCACCTGCGGGCCAGATCTCCCGGCTTCTGCCCCTCTTGCAGGAGGCTAGGCAAGCACTTCTTCCTGCTCCGGCTTGCAGGCGCGAGGCTCTGTCGTGTAGGTCCTAGGTGGGTCATGGTCCAAGTGCCGTCGGACTCTGAAGGTTGCCAGGTGCAGGTGATAGACTGGCGCTGCGCACTGATAGAGTGCCGGCTCCACGGCATGCTGGGGTTCTTCCGCACGAGGGACTTGCACTGCCTGTCGTGGACACCGCGGCCGCGAGAAGCCTCTTGAACCCGAGCAAGCAGGCGACAGATATCTGAAAGCAGCGGCTGTGATTTAAGAGTGCCTCCAGGGCTCTGTTCCAGCCGCAGGCCCTGGCACAAAGCCCCTTTCAATGTCTGTCGGGCCTTCTTTTGCAAGGCCAGGCGTCTGATGCCTGCCTTTTCCAAGGAGGCACAGGCTCCAAGATGCCAGAAGGTTATCAAAAGCTAAGTTGGAGGACCTATCACCTACATGCCTGAGTGTGCCCGATCAAAATGAACCCGACCTACACCAAGCTTCCGTAGGACGTGCTGGGCATTGCATGTTGCTGCACGGCAGTCCATGTCGCTTATTCTGCAGGCTGCTTCCATGCAGAGGAAGGCTCCAGCTAAGTTCCCTTTCTCAAATCTTCCTGGTCTGGTTCAGGAGGTCGTCAAGGTCGTGTCGCACGGGCAAAGTCTTTTTGGCCAGCGCTGTCCAAAAAGGCGCCGTGTTTCCATGTGTTCCTTGCATCGCAAATCTGGCCCGAGGAAAGAAACATCCTGAGATATCGCTGGTGCCCTTGCGCACCCTCACGGCCCTACGGGCGGGCAAATGACAACGAGAAAGTCGTGACGGATGCCATGACATTGCCCAAAAGCACAAAGCGTTCTGGGAGAAGTTCGCTGCTGATCTAGACAGGTATCACTGCCGAACTTCGCGAGGCTTCTGGCAAGCACAGATTGGGGCTTAGTGAACAAGTCCACCGAGCCACGCATCATGTCTGCAGTGCTGCTCAAGCTTCCTGAGCCCCTGGCACCTCTGAAGCCTGCACTGAGATGCGGGGCTTTATCCTCTAAGCTGCGCATACAACAACACAGCAAAAAGCCGCAAGTGTGCGAGGCTCTGACAAGTTTGAGGTCACCATGTCTCACATCCCAGCGTGTCGTGCCCGATCCAGGAGCTCTTCTCAGCAATAATCCCTCTATCCACTGCGGTTTGCAGTTCAGACTAAGAGTGTTTGTAGGGCTTTTCTCCAGGCGCCCCCGCATTCCCCTTTGAAGGTCCGTCGGGGCTTCTTCTTCAAGGCCAGGCAGTTGATGCCTGCGTTCTCCAGAGAGGCACAGGCTCCAAGATGCCAAAAGGTTATTATCAGCTATCAACGGCTAAGAAGACCTATCACAGAAAGCATGCCAGAGCTGAGTCCTGAATATACTCCAAACTTCCGGAGCGCGTGCCATTTGCACGGCACGAAGACGAGCTCACCTCGACATTTTCGTGCTGTGTTGACACGTGGGCGTGGCTTTCCGAAAACCGGCCGACGGAATGCCTTCAAGCTAGATCGCATTCGCATGCGCGGAGGCCTGCAGGCGAGTCAGGGAACTGGATTCGGTTTCCTTTACTGCTGTGGATCCGGCTCCGCACCTTCGGCAGTCCACCTGAAGGCCTGGTGCCCGTGCCAGCAACTCACAGCACCGCATGTTTGTCGAAGCACGCGCGTAATAGTAGTCCATTGGCAGTGGCCTGGCCAAGAGGCTGCCAGGCCACTCGAAACCGAGCGCATGGCCAAACGCAGGGGTTGAAAGTTTCTGTGCCGCCCTGTTCTGGAAGCCTTTAAGAAACCGAGCCCTGGGACTGTCCCTCGGGCCTTCTGCAAGGCCTGGGGTCTCATGCCTTCGAAAGCACGGGAAGGCAGCCGCAGGACGTAAACAAACCACATTTTAAGGCTTCTTGCGTTTCATCCCGCGTGAAGTTGACTGCCGGACCAGAGGCGCTGCAGGTCAAGCAAGCTTGCGTGAAGCGGATGAGGTCGAGCTCATTCCCTGCTCGCAGCAATGCTTTGTTGTGCTGGGCAGTGTGTTATGCACACCTTCTCATGCGCCGAGGCTTGCCGGCGCGTCCGGCAGCTTGATCTTGAGGCCCTTGCGGCTCTGGATAATTGGAGTGGTGCCCGTGCCGTCATCCGTCCTCAAAGCCGGCCTTGTAACCTTGCCCACAGTGGCGCGATAGAAATCCACAAGAAACCGAGCGCACAGCTCAATGCGGGGGTTGAGAGTGTCTGCCCAGGTTTGTTTTCGAGGCAGGTTTTAGGAGCTTAGGAAATCGGGTGCCTTTCACAGGACACGGAGCTTTCTTATATGCAAGACCGCGGGTTTGATGCCTGCCTTGTCCAGACAGGCACAGGCTCGCAGATACCATAGACTGAAAGACACCCCACCTACATTATGCCTGACTTGAGGTGAGCCTATTGAAATCTTCGGCGGGACGTGTCATCCAAGGCATGAAATCAACCGAGAGTACTTCGCTCTGTTAAGTTGGGCACTCTGTTATGAAGCTGGCCCGATGGAATGCCTTGAGTCCAGACTGCATTCCCTTGAGCCGAGGCTTTCAGGAGAGTACGGGAGTCTTATTTTCTTGCCCCTGCCGCTCTGGATCCTAGCATACGAGCAGGCTTTGCGCCTTGGGAGCAAAGTCACAGCACCAGCCGCGGTTGGCGGCTTGTTGAGTTCCCTGCTTGTCCGAGAAGTCAGCTCGCCGCATCTTGGCGCACGGCTGATCTCCCGGATTGAGAGTGTCTCTGCGGCTGTTTTTCATACAGGCCGTAAGAAGCCGTGCCTGTGCCCTGTCCGGTGGGGCCTGATGCCGGCGTTCTGCAGACAGGCAAAGGATGGAAACTCGCAAAAGTTGACAAGCTAGGTTTCAAGGCGTCGCCTCCTTCAGCTCCTTCAAAAAGACGCAAGCCTGGAGAGGAGAAGAGACCTCTCCCTTCTCCTGCACCTTACAAAGTCAGAGCTTGAAGTGCCGTACCATTCGATTCGCAGTCCCAAACCCGAGAATGTCTAGTGGAGTCTTTGTCCAAGGACAGAAAGTCGCACCCTTACTGGTACCTCAAAGGTTCTTTCGCAGTTAGCCCACATGCGTGCCACGTGTGCACCATAAAGTCCACAAGCTCGGAAATTATGCTTCAACAAAGTTGCACCGACTGAGCCTTGTTTGTTCCATGCGCCGTGGCTTCCCCGCCAACGTTTTCAGCCTGCTGCGCGGACTGGAACGATCTTGAAGATTGGTCTGAGACGGCGTGATTTGAACATCAGGAAGTTCCGAAATTCACCGGACCTTGGCAGTGTCGGGAAATAACTGCTGCATGTCGTTCTTGCCCTTCGTTTTCTATTTACCTTACCCCCCTCTCAGAAATCTCGCTCGGCGTTGCGGCCATTTTGCGCTGAAAACTCCTCACGGGTGCCTACCCAATACCGCTTCTTCATGTCTGCAACTGTTCTCCGAGGCTGCTGCCAGGAAGTGCAGGCCATCGAGCTGAGGGTACGACTTTCCGACACTTCCAGCCGTGGGTTTTTGACAAGTCTGAAACTGGTGCCCTCAAGTCTGCACTGCCTGTGACATCCAGGCTGTCCATGGCCTTGGGTGTTCAAGTCTGAGCCTATGCGTGGGACATAAGCTTTGTAAGCAGATGATGATCAAGGTGACGCCAGCTCGGGGGGAACGGCTATGATCACGAAGATTTCGCTGGGCATTCATTGCAAGGCCATCCTGATCACGGGTTTCCCACTCCGAAGATCTGCAATTGGGCTCCCCAAAATTGCACAAAAAGCGACGCTCCGCTTTGTGATGCCTACTCCGGCAAAAACATGTTGATCTTGGAATCGAGCGCATCCTCAAGATCAGGCATGAATTTTCAAGATGTTGTCACAGGAGGGCAGCGTCAAGACTGTTCTGTGATGTGAACATGTTCCTTTCAGGAAGGGGCTCGGCTCGGCCACTTTCCAATGTTTGACTTTAGTCAGAGACACTGCTAGCTTCTCTGGACTTTGCGCGCTAGGCTTGAAAGTATGGGTCAAGGTTGATCGGGAGTCAGACTACCCAACCTCTCAGCCCTGTACGTGTTTGGCGTGCGCGGCAAAGTTCATCGTACGTGAGAAGCTCCCGCATCGTTGCTTCAAGCTGGCAGGCAGCTCGCCCCTTTGTTGTTGAACTCCAAGCTTAGTGTGGCAAGCAGCGATGTGCACTTGATATCAGCCGCCCTTTCTCCGAGATGGCCCGCTCACGGGTTTGACAGTCCGCAACCCTGCCCAGGGCTTGAGACACGACCAAGTGGTTCGGACATTCTGCTTTCACCTACGAGGATTTCAGAGTGTGTTACGAGACGTGGCAGCCCATCGTGGTCTGTCCAGCGAGCGGCTGCTTGGACACGCTTCAGGCATTTGCAGCCGCCTGACTTGGACGTCTCCGTCCTTCTTCGTGAGGGCGCATGCCATGGCCGTCCTCCCACGAAGGCACTGTGAAGCTTAGAGTTGGCCAGGTTCGTGAGGTCTGACCCTTACAGTCCATCGTGGCTCTTGTTGCTTGCGTGCTAGGCGTGCTAGATGCAATTCCGTGCCTGCTGTGCTTCGCCCATGTTGCCATTGTCGTGCAGGGCTTTCTCGGGAGAACTCCACCGACACCGCCCTGGTCCACGGTCCTGGGAAGCACTGCAAGCGCTTTTGGATACCCGGCCGTGAATTGTGCAGAGATCCGCTTTACCTGCGGGAGTCGCGCAGGATGATCGTTCTCGAATCGTTAAGGCTTTGGTAGGTCCCACGGCACCGGATGCTTGAACATGGCACCCCCTATCGTGGATGTGTCAGCGCACGCATACCTTCGAGAATGGGAGGAATGCTCGCAGAAGTATAAACTCTGTCCCTTCGGGCCACTGCGGTTTCATCCAGATTTGGATATAAGACATCCGATGAGATTGCCAGGTTGTTATCTGGTCATACCCAATAGCAAGAAGGAAAAAAATCCTTCTCCCTCTCTCTCTCTCTCCCCTTCTATCTTTTTTATATATATAAATATGCTTGAGAAATAAACTTATTAAGAAAATTAGAATCAGATAGATATTATATTTTTATTTTCATATAATTCTAATCATCATATTAATTTTATATTCACAAAATTTTTTATAATTATAATTTTATAGAAGACGAAGAATAATATATTCTTTGATACATAATAACATCGATTATTCAATATGAATTGAATTGAAAATTTGATATTTATTATATAGAATTTGATTCATAATTTCTGAATTTTCATCTTAATTTTTTATTAAAAACAGAAAAAGAAAAATAATTATTATTATTATTCTTATTCTTATATTCTTCACTATATAGAATAATCTTTTATGGAGCTTCGAATTATTTGAGATAAATATTTTCAATATT